CAATCCTCGTTAGATGGGATAACGGTAAACAGTTTCTGCTAAAAGCTGCCCCATTGAGAGACAATAGCAAATAATTGATAATATCAAAATAAACATTGTCATTATCAATATTATTCATTCAATCGTATTTATAGGGAAAAACAAGTGAGCAATTTGTACATGTCACAATGCGTATCCGGCGTATCGACACTACCGATTACAGCCCGTACGCTTGAGGGGTTAAATAAATAAAAGCGAAATACCGTACATCGAAATATTAGTTCTCAGGCAATCCACAGTGTATGTTTCCTGTTGATATGGTCCTCGAAATTCTTACAGAAAACGAGTATACTCTTAAAAGCATTTTTCAATATATTGTGAACTTTATTATGTTCTGTCTTTTTCTGGACCGATAATAATTACGTGAGCAGAGGAGAATAGAAGAAACAGTATTCTATAAGGCGAATGTTGATTTTAAAAGTACAGGAATTCACGCTATCTATACAATATTAATTAAAGGAAACAGATAATCTGAAATGTTTTTCTTGGGTGTGTTCCATTTCATTGTTTGTTATACATGTAATTGAATTCTTTGTTTTATTGCAATATTGTATTTGATTTTATAATAACGATAATTATGGCAAAATTGGGCAGTCTCTTGTTTCAGCTGCAACTCATAATTATTTAAATAAATACTGCTTGAAATAAGTTTTATTAATTGTCTACTTTTTTAACCCGGATTTTCTTTTAGAAAACTTACAAAGTTTACCCAGACGATATCCACTGACTCGGCTAGAAATAATAAAGTAGAATATATATACGCATGCATGCATGTATAAAATAAATACATTATATAAATTATATTTTAATTCATAATATTAGGTATATGCCTGTTAATATTATTTATTTTATGAAAGCTACATTAATTTGAAAACATACTTTATGAGACCAAAATTCGTTTATTCTTTGAAAGCTGTAAAGATGTCATTCGTATCATCTAAAATTATATTAAATTAATTTAATATCAAAACTAATTAATTTAAAAGATAATTATATAATTTTAAAGATGGCTTCTCTTATTTATTTTTTCAATAAAGTAACTTTTATATATTAGCTATCTATTCAATATCTAAATATATAAAATATTGATTAACAAAAATAGTCGTCGTTATTTATTAAGTCGGCGAACTTATGAAACTTGTTACGTTTGTTATCCCCTTGAAATTTATAAGATTTTCTGTTAAAAGTTATAATTGAGCCCGAAAATTTCGGACCGAGCAAAATATCACAAAAGCAATTGTATTCTTTCAAAGTTAGATGAATTAGTTAATTCTATTCTAAAACCGACTTCTTGTTATTTCTTGATTTAGTAATGGTTTAATAGATAAATTTGATTTTGTTTTTGTAAAAAATTTCGTCAGATTCAATTTCAAGTTTTTTATCCATAGAAAATCCCTTTACTGGGATGAAAAGTTTCTTATGTATACATATATAAAAGGAGATGTCCTGACTTACTGATTGACAGACAACGCGCAGCCTAAACCGCTGGTCGTAGAAACGTGAAATTTGGAGGAAAGATTCCCCTTAATACGTAGAGGTGTACTAAGAACAGATTTTTGGAAATTCCACCCCGAAGGGGGTCAAAAAGGGTGAAAAAGTTTGTATGAAACTTCTTTGTTTATGGACCTATGTCGATGAAAATTTGGTATTTTAATATAAATTAGCACCTAAAGGAATAAAGATATATAAAGAATATGCGTATTCCGTAGCCATCGTAATAAATTTCAAGGTTGTTTCAGACCGCAAAATCATAACTCTGACGAATAAACAAGCTATTTCAGAAAACTATTATATTTCTTTTTTGGACACCCAACATTAATGATATGGCCAAACGTAGATTGACATATCACTTAATGTTGACGCTTAAATGATATGAACAAATGGCCTGCCGGGCTTTACGTGCCTTCCGAAGCACGGAGTAGCCCGAGATACTAATTTTTAGGACACCTATTCCGCGACTGACCTTTGCAAAAGTTGCTTAACTACAACAACCGCGGGCCGCGGCGCTTACCCGCTACGCAACTAAGTGACTTGAAAAATTAAATATTTTTTTTCCGATTAAGATTTGTGTAAACTTTAGAACTGTTTTTTCCATCTGTATTTCAAATTCGATTGGATTGGATTAATATCTCTAAAGTTTTCAAAGATAAAGTTAGATAGATATTTCTTGTTTTCTTTTTTTTTGGAGTATTTTCTAACTTAAACATCTAGGTAATTTCATCATCTGCTCAAAAAACAACAACGTTTTTGGAAAATGTATGCTGCCCAAAGTAACTATACCACGCGGACGAAGTCGCGGGCAAAAGTTAGTATAATAATAATCTGCAGGTAACACGTCAAACCATTTTCGCATAATATGATGTATGAAGATATACCAATGTTCGGGCGTCGTACTCAAAATTATACGGGTGGACAACACCAAATGTTTACTATATACCAAAGCAAACAATAATTGCCTGGGAATCTGTCATTAAAAGGATGAGCGAGAAAATATTACAAAAGTAATATATAACATAAATCATCTTATTTTGAATATATATACATAATATCTTTCTTCAGCTTCTTTGACTTCTTGCAATAAATAAATTGAACTCGCATCCATATGCATATCGCATACAATGGATTCGGATAAGATTTTTTTTTATGTTTAAATTACCAGCAATTTAACCGTTACCGAAAACTATTAAAGATTCATTCATAGTACAAAGCTACCATTTCATTACAACTAGCAAAAATCATAATAAAGTAGCAGATGAACAAGTCATATTGTACCAATTAGCTATCATTTAGTTTTGCATGAATCTATTTATATGTGATAAGCTTTCAGCCGGTTTCAATTTTTTTAGACATCTTCAAAGAACATTGTTATACTGATTAATATATTAGGTATCATAAATTTCAAGCGGCGCATTAAAAAAATACCCTCCATGTTCCACTTGGTTCATAAGCTTTATTGCTCTGATTCCGTTTTCTTTGACCTATAATGTTAGTCTCGCCTCGTCTACCATCGATGCATTTGTTAACTCAAGAATGAGAGAACAAGCCATAGGCGGAAGCATTTCAGAAGAATATGAAGGTTATGATCGTATTTACGAATATAAAAATTCAATTAATAGAATATTTGATCTAATTTATCGAGAAGTTGCAGTCACATTTATTTACTAAAAATCGATTAAAAATACTTTATTATATTAAATTAGATAAACAGATTACACGTGTACAAAAGAGACGTAGTAAATTAATTGTTTGAAGAAAATTTTTGACCTGATTTTTGTATCAGTAACATATCTTTGGGAAAGCACATCACTTTCAGAATCAGTATATTTATTAAGGAAACATATAATTGATTCTCCAATATATTTATTTAATATATATTAATTTTCTAAGTGATGATATCATATAACACTACATCTATTCCGATTTCATTTAACTGCAATGTTTCTTGTACAATTTGTACTACGTCTAACTTTCTTCTCATTTTCTTGGCGAACGGAAAATTAGCCCTCAATGTATAATAAAACTGCATGCTTTCAATTACAATACCCAGTCCCACTAAGGTGTTTAATTATTAAATGCACTTTCTCATAACTTGGGCGGGTACCGCAACGCGAACGTATCAATTATACACATGGAAAGTACAAGACGGTGCATAGACCGATTCCCAGAGCGATTCACTTCTCATTAAAGAGAAGTACTCAGAGCTTTATTGTCAACTTTTCAACAAAGACAAATGCAGTAGTTGAAGCAGGATGGAGCTCTATGACGTTTTACTTTAAAAGTATTTCATTTTAACAACGACATTAACATAGCATTTAAAAATGTTATAATTTCATCGAATGAAATGCTAAGTGTGTGGCTGCTATTTTCATCCTAGCAATTTCTGTAAAAAACATGGGATATAAAAAATACATTATACACTTTTTTACCATTATTTTTGTGTTGATAATTTTAAAAGTATCTTTGCGAGGAGTCTCCCTTATCGGTATTTTTTTAAGGCTTAATGTCGTTACGCAAAAAAACTTATATATTTTAAAGTTATGTGCATAGTCATTTAAAAGCTGAATCATTAACATGCAGAATTTTGACAATCGAAATCATTTCTTGGTCTTTTAATCTATATATATTTTGAAATATCGTTATAGGCAGTTTAATGTGACGTTGGCACAGTTCTAACTTAATATAATCGATTCGACGAAATTGTACCGAATTCTTCCAAAAACCATCTACCACATTATTTAGTATATAATTAGGAGATACAAACATTCTGCACATCAATAGCTAAGTTTAATAATTTGTATCCCTCCAAAATAAGATTATGCTAAGTCAGTAATAATAATTTTCGGACCTTGGAGATTCTGTATAAAAAGGGAAACGCTTTACGAGTGTCACAACCGAATACCGATTCTCGAATTCAAGGGCGTGCTTCCATGGTAAATAATCGAATAAAATACGTAAAAATACTGCAGCCTCCTACATGTTATGTAACATATAAACTCTATATTTTATTTATAACAGATTGGAGCCTATGGTCGAATTCCTGTAACTGTTTGTTTATTTTCTGGATTAACGCTATATTTTATAAATAATAGATGAGGAAAAATGCAAAAAAAAAACGCATGGTAAACATTTAACAAGGCACCATAATCTCTGTCAAAATCAAACAACAGATATGAACAATGTTTCATATAGATCATATCTATATTACTATAAGATAGAGTTTTCTTACAATCACTTGGTGATCAGAGAGCTTGAGGAGAATGTACTAAAACAGAATAATAATGAGACCAAACAATAGTATTACATAGAAATACACTAATACTGAACACCTTATATATTGGATAAATATGGAACATGATAAATCGAGTAGACGATTGCATGATAAGTCGTTGAAATTCTATTTATTTATATGTATATGAGTATATTTCAGAATCGTTATAGCCTTAAGAGAGAATGAATTTGAAATGAAGCTTGTGCTTAAAGAATTGCGAGTGTTTGTTTGCAGTCAAAAGGAAGATTGCAACATTGGGAAGCACGTAAACACAGAAATTTACATTTAAAATACTAGATGTACCTTATTTTATATTATTACTCGTAGATGTATACAATGAAATAATGAATAGAAATATATTCATAAGAGACATGATCATTCTACGAAGACAGTAAATAAACGTATGAAATTATTATTAAGTGCATAATTCCGTTTGACAATTATAGGATCTTAGATGACCTAATCATTGATCAATTGAATTTTGTGGATTTAAGAGGAAATAGAGATGATGCGATTGAACCGCTGGATGTACCTAAGAATGTTTCGAAGCTAATACTAGATGTTAATGTAAATTCTTAACTAGGTAACTTAAGGAGTAAGCTTTATTAATGTATTAATGGGTCATTAAAACTGAGAAGCAAATTAGGATTCATATCCACTTTTGCTATAACACACTGAATGATAACCTGGCGCTTAAACTTAACGTCTTAAAGCATATTCCAAAAGTAAAGTAAGATATAAAGTCAAAGATATTTTATTAATTGAAGCTGAGATACTGTGTATGTATTTTAACTTAGCTTATACATACAGTAGCATATCTAAATTTGTTGGTTATATTTTAAAGAAGAAATATAGAATACCGGCTTGTGAACGCCTGCAAATAAATTGCACTTATATGAAAACTCGAGCGAAGCACCAACCACTGGCTGACGTTCCCGAAGATAGGATAAGAATCAATTTAGTTCAGGAGATGAGATTTTCAAATACGAAAGTAAAATGCAAGGAAAATGTTATAGTCAACTCAATGCATTGGAAAAATCGATACGAACTAACGAAAAACGTAACATCTCCATGCTGCCATACAAGGAGATTATATTGATGACAATCTGGTGTTGCTTGATGCCTGGAAAGAAAAAAATATGTATTTATTTTCTGGTAGTGTTTTATAAACTATTACTGATAATCATACTTATGCTTATTTATTATATTTATAGTATTGCTAAAATTAATTATTAAAAAAAACTTATTGTTAAAAAAAAATCATGTTCAATTTTGACCTAAAAATTTAATATAGCATCTAGTGATGTGATATATATCTATATGTAGCTTACTTTTTACTTATTTCATACCAGGAAATTAAATCTTAAAATAAATTCAGGATAAACAGTACAAGGATTATAATTGTTTTTAAATAGTACTATGATATCTACCCGAATGTGATGCGGGCCTAAACTGATGGTTTGCTACTCAATGCAATTCGGACCCATTAACGCTTTGCTACGTTTCGTTTTATGCAATGCGAAAAATATTCTTTCGTCATATGGTAAAAAAGTGCAGATGAACAATTACATTTACGACTCCAACTTTTTTAAAGTTTTGACTAAATGCATTAATTTTTAAAATACCTTCACAATGAACTCCAGTTTTGATAACTATTATAACCTCAAAACATTATTTACAAATTACGAATCCTTGGCTTCCAGATGAAAAAAGTGCTAAAATATTATTCTATTTTAAATCAAAAAACTAATTTGAATTATTATTAATGCTGGCTAGACGCGACTTTAAAAAAAAGCATGTGACAGGTCAATCAATGTATGGAAAGTGATTGTTATGAAAATTATAATTATTTTTAGATTTTAACTTATTATACGAATAATACTTTTTTAGACATATTTCATAAATACCTATAAAATTAAAATATAAAAAAAAGTTGTTTACACTTTTTTTACTTTATTAATAAATTATTATATAATAATATATCGTTATATTATAATTATTACAATAATATATATCATAATTTCTATGCTATAGTTATTCTTTTTAATATTAAACATGTTAAAATAGGTTATAAATATCGATCGCCTGTTTCTTATAGATTTTTTACCATTTTCATTTATTTTTGGAAGATAAATCAAAAATATATATTGTAAGTTGACTAAAATTAAATTGCTATATAGCCAGATTCTGAATTGAGAATTTAAAGTTAAGCACATCTCAACCTAACTTAAACCATCTTAAACGTCAATTTTTTTTGAAGGTCAGCAGTTTGATAACACTTGGACTTTTTGCCATGTGAAATGTAAAATACTTAGTTATTGAGAATAATCAATTGAGAGTTTGAACTTTTCTCGTTTCAAAAACCGGCTGTTTATTTCAAAATTTCTAAACTGTTTTAATGAAATTTATACGCTATATAAAATATTTAAATTAGAAGCTAATTTAAATAAAACAACAAAATAAAAACTATTTGTGAAGAATAAGTGGACTCTTTAGAAGCCCTTAATTAGACTAACATAAATTATATGATTATGGTATTTCAACGAAATTACTTACATACAGGTAAATTTGATAACCCTCTTGGTTGAAGTCAGTTAATACACTAACGCTGGTTATGAAGACTTTAATTACCTCTTCTCTATATTTAATGAAAAAACATATCAATAAACTCATCCATTTATAAAAAAAATCAACGCTTCTTTACTACATTGAGATAACCAATTTATTTTTAATTAATATTATGTGTAACACATAAATAAACAATTTCAGTAACATAATTGTTGAAATATCATCTCAGTAATAAATTAAATCTAATCTAATGTAAGTTTTACTTCAGATATTAAATACTGCACGATATATATTGTATACAAACAAGGTACTCGTATTAACAGTTTTAAATAAATATTTTATTCACATCATTCTACTGTTGAATATATGGCAAATAATATTTATACTGCATTTTTCGAAGAATAAAATTCTATAAATGTCAACTTTAAAGGGAATAAGATCTGAGAAATTAATTTTTCGTAGATAAAATGTAATAAGATCTTTTATCTACATGTTATGTGAATATAAACTTAAGATCGACCGTTGTTCCAGCTGTTCATAAGTAGCCATTATGTAAAATATCAGGCTCTTTTGCCGACCGTAGACAAATAACAGCTTTCCTAAATACATATGTTCGAATTTCAGAAGAGTTTCAGCCACTTATCTTGGGATTTCAGCAATATATGTAACGTCGTTGATACGTAATATAAATCAAGATACGAACACTCATATGATATTCCGTTGTTGTTCCAGACGGGGTCGGCGTCCGAGGAATCACTCAAGCGTGGCCTGAGCCACAAATGCGCTCAGCGGGAGACTGTGTCCGCTTGCATAGCTCACGAGCTTGTCGGCTATGTGGACAGAATGCTGAGAACCGCTTCGGTACAACTCACCGAAGACGCTATGATTGTCGATGAAAGGTACATAACTGAAATATATTTTGAAAACCAATGAAATAACATTGTGACCATCGCAATCGAAAACTATTATGATTATTGTAAAAATCTTGCATAATTTCTTCAGCTACGAAGTGACATAAATATATATTTTTTTTATATTAAAAAGAGTATAAACACAAAAAGAAATCTAATAAAATCCCTTTTTGGCTATAACAAATCCCAGAAATGTGATACTGTTTTTTCATTTTGAAATATATCTTTTTTTAAAGTTGTATAAAACTTATGGAAGGCTACTAAAGAATGTAGGAATTTTATTTAAAACTATCAGTCGCGGTACAAAATATGATTTTATTGAATAATCCAATTGAAACCATCAAAGAAGCCTTCCGATTGCTTCATATATTTTTTCTTCTATTAGTAAAAAAACAGAAAAGAAATCCTTTTACGGTCTTGGCAATGATAGGTTTTAAAAATAAATTTAATTTTCATAAATATGTCTTCCATGAAATGGCCGATGAGGTTTTTCACTTTGTAAGAATTTCATTAAATGACAAGTAGTTAATTACCTAAGACATTTTACGTTTACTGGCTCGACAGACGTTGTCCTGTCAAATACCTTGGAAAAAAGCAATTTCCCAAACAACTTTTCTAATTTTCCTTTTCGTAAGAACCTTATTCGGACTACTAGGGAGATTTCAACAATAAAATCGGTCAAAACCGGTTACGTCGTTCTCAAATGCTCTCAAGCGTTTACCAAGAAGTCTCATCTTTATAGCAAAGGATGAAATATATTAAAATGACTGTTTTCGATTGTGGGGGTTGGGAAACTTTGGCAAAGGCCATTTACAAGATGGGAGACCACAAATTGACTCTTGAACTCCTTCGCGCTTCGGAAGACAAATTTAAACTGACGGTTTTATCTTACCTACTGTCGTTAACACCAACCAATCCGCACGGGGCCTGCGCGTATCTTTGCCCATTCTTCCTATTTGATTCAAACTGATTTCATCGGGAAGAGGTATAACGGGTCCGAGCAAACTAACACAATGGTAGTGAATTAAACTAGGCTGACTAGGTTTGATAAGTAAATTTATGGTAAAAGAATATATAACCGAAAATTAGGTTACATATTAAAAAAAACACTTAATGAGATACCACGTTACTGGGTTTTCCTGCAAACTTACATACCTATATATTTTATATTACGTACATATTTTAAAAATATTTACTTAATGCGCAACTAAATTTCAATGATAAACGTTTGATAAATTTTAAATTAAAAAAGTAATAATAAAAAAGAAATGATATTATAGATCAGAGACAAATTGTTTGGATGATAATGTTATTATAATATATATAATATTTATTTACAAAAACACACACAGTTCTCTTCTCCTACATTTAGATAAAGACTAAGACAACACTGTTGGAGTTGCGGGCTCAGCGACTACGTCTGAGTTGCCGGGTGCCACTCCCATCCAAGGATATTCCAGGGTTATAAATGAGTAGGTTTTAAAGGGCGGAGCTCTTTGACCTGCTTAGTCAGACATATTGCAATATCCCTTGTTAAAAAATGGACAACACTGTTAATTAATTAAAATTAGTGAAAAAAAAACTATTTACCTCATTTACGTAAACAAATAAATTGTCAGTTTATTGATTAAAATACCAAAAAAATGAACAAAATAAAAATACATATACAGAGCAATGAAAATGGTCAAACCAATAAATCTTCGTAAAAAATTAAGTATGGATGTGAAGTTCAATCATTCGATTGATTAAATTTCACAACCAATAACCGATTTTGATTTATTATTAGTTATAACGTAAACCGATGCTGTAACAGATTCGTTGTTTTACCATCCTTGCTAGCATATAAATAATACCCACAATATAACAAGGAATAGATCAATTTCATATTTAAGAGTATCGAGCTATTAAAGTAAATGTAATATATATATTTTTTTAATTCAATTTTTGATAATGTTAACTAGAAAATCATTTTCAACAATCTGCTAAATAAACAATACAGTAAACCTTTATAGCATTTAAAATAATTACAAGTATAATAGCCGGTTTTTCATTGTTAGGCTAAAGCAATTAATTAGAGTATAAACTGTGAGCTTTTAACTTTTAACATAGACTTGAGTACCGTATCAAAGTTAAAGTGATTTCTTACAAGTAATAAGACCAAAGGCGCTTTTGCCGATTAACTTTATTTTACTAACCGAGTCGAATTTTTAACAAATAATATTACAGTTACTTTGATTGCTTATAATAATTATAACGAGGCATTCAATCAATTGTAACGTTAAGTACAACATAATTTCAAAGAAAAGTTCATATATGGCTTCCCGTTCCTCAAATAGATCGTTATTGAAATAATTTATTTGAAAAATAACTTTCAGTCCACGGCTTCAACTACGTGTTAGGCTTTTTTTATTTAGCTTATTTGTAACTATATCATATTTTAGCTTGATTCTTCCAGTTACTATTTTGTAAATAAAGTGGACTTACATTTTTTTTTATGTTTTACATAGATGATTTGTTACATGATCTTTCAATATTAGCTGAACTTCTTTGTTTTTCCATTTTAAAAAATAAAGTAGAAATAAAAGATAAAATGTTACTCTTTCTGCAGACAACGGGCTGGTAAATAATAGTATGAAATAACAAGTAACAAATATCAATGCAATATTTTTAATTTTCTTTATATCGTTCCTCTCTTTCGTGTAGTTATAATGAATCTTCTTTATATAATATTAAAAACCATATCGATTTCCGTTTTGTGGTTCATTATAAATTAAATAGAAGTCAGACACAGAGAGTGACAGAATAAGAAACTAAGTTTGACTTAAATTTATACTATGTAATTAATTGTTATTAATCTTAATCTGGTCACGACTGTTACAAGTTGTTATACATATACATAATGTTATAACATAAAATTTCTCAGAAAGTGGAGCTGTTAATTATAAATTATAGTACCTATTATAACATTAACACTTAGAATTAATTGGTATTTTTTCACACATGAATTGATGCTTTTATAAGGACTAGAAACAAGACATTGGTAAAATATTACGAAAATTTACTTTTTTATATATGCTTTGCATCATTGTAAAAGTTAAAGATTTACGGACAGCATAAGCTCGTACGCACAGTTAATTGTTTCATATCATATAGCATTATCGTGTGGATACTGCAAAATAAATGCATAAGATTTCATCCCAATATGTAGACTATGGACAAATGGACTCTTTTTTTATACTTTATAGCAGAGCTTCTCTAACTGTGCGTCGCGACGCCCTGGGGCGTCGCGGCAATGGCCCAGGGGCGTCGCGTGATGATATATCGATGAGACTAAGTCAAGTGATCGCCGCATGCATACTGTCAACGCGACGCGAACGCGGACATGTGTGATATATTTAACAAATTAAATGATCTTAATAAGTGTTTGCAGGGAAACAATACTCACATCCTGCAATTGGCAGATAAAATTACTGGGTTTCAGAAGAAGTTACACTTATGGAAGAGAAAATTAGAAGATCAAGTAATTGACTATTTTCCTGCTTTACAAAGTATTCTACTAGAATAATCGATAAAAATTCTTGATCCTTCCTTAAAAATAATATTTACACAGCACTTGCTCTCACTTAGCGAACACTTTGAAAAATATTTTTCCGATAATCTAGAGCAATGCGACTGGGCTTACTAAACTGGAGCCCAGTTTTAAGAAACTATGCTCAGAAAAGCAAGCACTTCCATCTCATTAGAGCCAGCCAGTTAGTTACATCTCTTTTTTTATACTTATGACTTATGTTTTGAATTTGTTTTCATTTATTAAAAAATATAAAAGTCAAATTCGTGTCTTCCTGATAACCTATTACTAGGTTAGTACATACAAAAACTGGTTAGTATTTTTGGGGACTGCGTTGAGGGGCGTCGTAAAAAAATGGCAAAGACCCAAGGGAGTCACAGTACAAATAAGTTTGGGAAGCCCTGCTTTATAGGTTAACACTTGACTACGATCCCACCTGATGGTAAGTGGTGATGAAGCCTTGGGTGGTATAGCGCATTAACCTAGAAACAGTCTAGACTATAATTTGTTAAGCACAACATACTTACTTTAATATATATTTTTTGTATATAAAAATTTAGACAACCCTACAATATTTAATAAATTATTAAAAGCATTTTAATTAATAAATGTTGGCATAACATATATTGACTATTGATTAACATATATTGACAAAGCAATATCTCCATAGCTTATATTACTCGTATTGTACGAGACGCCAACGTCATCTGCTCTACTGACCACCGACTTGTCATCACTGAATTGCGTCTCCGCTCTTAGCTGTGTTTATGGCAGTTGTAATACCTAGTCTTCTATATATCTGAAAGGTGGCCTCTAAACCGTAAACGCATTGTTGCATTGGAGAGGTTATCATGAACATACTCGTACGCTGGTCAGGCCGCGTACGCAATACAGAATTTTACAGCGGGCCAATGTCGGCGAAATAGAGGCATATATAATGCGAAGACAGCTGCGATGGGCCGGTTACATCTCCCAGATGTCAGACGATAGAATATCAAAGCGTTTAATGTGAACTACAACATGGCAAGTGAAAACAGGGTGGTCAATTGTTACTATACAAAGATGTACTTTAACGACACATGAAGCGCTGTGATTAAGACTCGTCACCATTAGAATAAACTGGCAGAGGATCGGATTTCATGGAGACATATCGTGAGCACTAAGGTGTTTGAAATTAAGAGGATGCAGAAGGAAGAACTCGATGCAAAGCGAGAAAAGCTCAAGGCCGGACCACTTGTGGCCATACTTTATAATTATGTCGGAGATGTACTGATTCGTAGCGTATATGGCCGCACATGCACTGTTATGTCAGTCACATGTTATGTACACACAAACGATGTTCTTAAAGTTGGATGCTAGTCGCCGTGACCAAATACGGTCGGGAGAGTTATATATACACATTTACTCCTACATATTGCAATGCCATTTTAGGACGTCACATACATACCTAAGATTGAATTCGATCTCAGTGTTTGTAATATAACATGCACTAATGTTTTGACTTTGACTTGAAAATACGAGAGTGATATGTACCTACTTATGTGTATTGAAGCTTCTCTTCTAAATTTCTCTTACTTACTTATATTCATTAATAATTTCAGTAATGGCGCAGGGGCAGAAATGGCTGTGAAGACAGAATCATTAGCAAGAGCAGGCAACTCTTTAGAAGACCAAGCTCAGCAGTTGATTATGGACAAACTCATGGTATTCGCCACGACCAGGTCATTGCGGTACAAGTTGTTGGATAATGCTGATTTGGTGATTGCAGGGAGAACTGAAAAAGATGGAAGTCTTGGAGTCGGTAAGTTCTCTAGAAGCTTAAAATAAACCACCACTAAAAATATAGATCCCAAAAACTTTTCTCATATATAAATTATTCCTAGTTGGAGCAAACTGGACAAAGTTTGTAAATTGTCAGTAAGTGTAGGAAATTTGCGATCGGTTTAATTGGTGAATCGGTTTATGTCAAAGTGGTTTAAAATTTCTATAAAGGGTAATTCAAAAAGTAATTTCAGTATTCCACTTTAGGTACTCTTATACTATTTTTCCAATGTAGTTACTTTTATACTACTACAAAAAATTTAAGTTTGCATGATTGTATTTATTATGACTGAAAAGATAATTGAAGGGTAAATTTTGTTAAGTTGGTCAAATATATTTATGTCATTAAAAGCCCAAAGTAGTCCTAACGTTCTGCCATCTACGCAGGCACAAAGAAAGAAAGAAGAAATTCTGTGCGCTACTGCGTCAAAGTGAAATATTTTCCATTATGGCATTGTGAATGCTGATTTGATATAATAATTAAATAATTATTTTAAATAATAGATTATTTCAAAGTTGCCCTTATAATTTTCCAGGTGTATCGTTGAAGGCGCCTAAGCCTATTGAAACAGGCAGAGCACGTAATAAGAACATCGGACCATTCCTAGCAGCTGCAGCCATGAAGTTCGGCCTCCTTGGTGCACTGACCTTCAAGGGTCTCACCCTGATGGTGGGAAAGGCTCTTCTGATCTCGAAGATTGCGCTGCTTCTGGCTACCATCATTGGACTGAAAAAACTATTTTCTCATCAGGTGAAAGACTAGTTATAATGCACTAGAAGAAACGATTGGTCTCTTTCATCTTGCTTTTCTATATTTTTACCTTTTTAAAATATTCTAATAGTTATTTTTTTTGGAAATCACTTTTCTAATAAATAACAAGAGAACGTTCAATAATATTGATAGGTTAGAGCGAGGACATTTCATCATGATTTTGTTTTAATAAGTATATATCACTCAATGAAGGATCATTTTTAAGTCACCATAATTTTGCCGCATAACGGAACCACCTTTGGTAATTTCTTTTGACAACGTGATAGTAGACCCAGTGCTCTTCTGGTAGAGTCTATAACATAATATTTGAAATTAGGACTTACTTTAACATATCTTATTCTACCTAAAATGTGTACTTATACCTATTTAATATATTGTTAATTGCTTACGATTAGGCTGTCATGAACATTAAATTCGAAAAAGCTCACTCTACCCTATTCTTCTTTCAACCTCTTCATGATTTAGATATCATTCGGGAAATTAAAAATAATTATACATGCTGGTTTTCAGATTGATCTTGCATGAAATCGTAGATTTGGTAAATTATCGACAGTACTTAATACATACACAGATAGATATTCTTTATTGTAAACACAAAACAAAATACAATTATAATGCGAAAATAGGGAAGTTACAATTGGCGGTCAAGATATAACATTCATCATGTAGGTTAAACAAATATTCATAGGTACACAAATAACACAGTATATCGCCTTCTTTAAAAAAAAAACTTAACTGCGTGAAAACAAAAAAAAAGTGAAAAAAATATGTAATTATGTTCACTATAAACCAAAAAGAAAAAAAAAACAAGCCCAGTAGTTTGGAATGTTATTAAGTACTACTGAATAACTGCTCCATAGAAATAGTTTTAAAATCTATACACACATTAAACATACACGTATCATAAAAAACAAAAGCGGAATAGAGGATCAAAAGTCGGGACCCATGTAATTTAAATGTGTCGGCAACATTGTCATTTCATTGAAGGAGTTTATATCGTGAGGATTATAAAGCAACTTGCAGTGGTCTACACTAATGATTTATTAGTCTCTCTAGAGACGTCACTCGGCTAAAAAGCTTGAACTTTAGCAAAAATTCGCGAACTTAAATCAACCACAACTCGGTCCAAAGTAGTTCTTGGCACTTAAAAGCTTAATGATTTGCGAACGGCTTACTATATCTAAAAACAGTCTTCGCGCACATCTAATATTTTTGAAAGACCACCAACAATATCCCACACTATAGGGAAAGTGAAAAAATAAAAAACCATCCCACTTTGCATGTAGGGGAGGTACTCTAAAAAAGAATTTTGATTACTGTTATGTGTTTAGTGACACTCGCTAGGTTAAATCAAATCGATTGGCGTATAAATCATCAAAATTGGCCAAGCCGTTTGGTCTCTCCAATGCCATATAAGGACAAACATACATACATAGACTCATAAACACATTACCCTCCTTTTCATTGCGCAGTCGGATAAAAAGAGGTTTTTCTATTTATATTTATTTTCGATTTGAATATGTAAATAAGCAGAAAACAAAATAAGTAGTCTACTAAAACTGTGTTTTTTACAATTAGGGCCATTTAAATCAATTATGAGTAGCTCGGTGGCGTAGTGGATAAGCGCCGCGGCCCGCGATCTTAGTCGTTAAGCAACTTTCGCCAGGGTCGGTCACGGGATGGGTGGCCAAACAATTATTATCTCGAGTTACTCCGTGCTTCGGAAGGCACGTTAAGCCGTTGGTCCCGGCTGCATTTGCAGTCGTTAATACCCTCCAATCCGCATTGGGCCAGCGTGGAGGGTCATGGCCCATCCTCCTTAACCATCCATAAGGAAGGCCTGAGCCCCTGCAGTGGGGACGTAAAAGGGATGGAGATGATAATGATGTAAATCAATTATTCGAATTCAGTGTCAGTACTTACAATTATTTAAAAATAATTCATCATCATTATTCCATTCATATCCTAACCTCACTGCTGGGGCAGGTCTTTTCTATGAATGGAATCAGATAGGGAGAATGGGCTATAACCCACTACGCAGGTCCAGTGTGGATTGGTGGCTGTTATCGCCTGCAGATGTAGCCGGGATAAAAACGCTTAACGAGCCTTCTGAAACAGAGTCCGAGATAATACATTTTTGATCACACGTCATATGACCGCCTCTTGCGGAGCTCAGTAATTTTGTTCTTTTGTAATTGGTTTTACTAAAAAGAATACTTTACTTTTCTGTAAAATAAACAACCTAGAACAGTACTGCCATCTATTGGCAGTAAAATAAATTAAGCCGGAACTTTCTACTTTAATACCCCAATAACATTAAAGGTTATCAGCTAAAGTGGTATTAAAGTTAAATTTTAAAGCTTTAACAGTATCACGTACTAGCGATAAAGCTAAGTGATATGTTTCACAGGTTAAATGCTTCGTTTTATAGATCAGTAGTAACGAACTCCTGTATCCGGCTTAAAACAAATGTAATAATAAAGGACTTCTGACAAACAATTAGTAAACAAACTCAACATCACGGCCAGTCTTGCGGATTGATGAATGTTAACAACTGCAGATGTAGCTGGAACTAGTGGCTCGAGATAGTAAATTACGGTCACCCATCCTATGACTGGCCATTATTAAAGTTGCTTTACAACCATATCGCTCCACTACCTTACTTAAATTATGTGGCTTGGTTGTATTAAGTGGACTTATAAAAGGAAGAAACTAGAAAAATAATATTTGAAAATGAGAACAAAAGTGCGTTATTTGTTGATAAGGTTTGTCTACAAAAACTAATACATGTAGTATTCGTTTTTGTAGACTTTCCAATTAGTAACCTACTGTAAAAAGGTTAATTAATATACTATTATTATTATATTAATATTAATGTTGATGTAATAGACTAAGATATGCTGAAATTTTATCCCTGAATTCTCACGAGAACAGAACAGTGTACCGAGTATCGAGAATAAAATTGCAGTTCATTTTGGCATTGCAAAGCTTTTATTTTAGTTCTTGAAATACTCATTTTCGATTTTTTGCTGTTTTGAGATTCAACTTCATCATCATCATGAGCAACCCTTTTACGTCCCCACTGCAGGGGCTCAGGCCTTCCTTATGGATGGTTAAGGAGGATGCGCCATGGCCCTCCACGCTGGCCCAATGCGGATTGGAGGGTATTAACGACTGCAAATGCAGCCGGTACCAACGGCTTAACGTGCCTTCCGAAGCACGGAGTAGCTCGAGATAATAATTTTTTGGTCACCCATCCCGTGACCGACCCTTGCGAAAGTTGTTTAACGACTACGATCACGGGCCGCGGCGCTTATCCACTACGCCACCGAGCTACTCCTAAAGTTTATTATATTTTATCAATTTCGCATTCAAGACGCTTTACTGAAAAATATTGAAATAATGAGAAATGGCATTCCAACCTATGACCTTTCGCGATCTGATTGTGGGTTATCCCCTATCTAAGGGTGCCAGGGACCAAGTGGATTTTTCAAGCATTTTTCATTAAGAATACTTTTCAGTATAACACTGTGAATGCGAAATTGATTAAATTTAATAAATTTTCATAATTATAGAAATTTTAAATATTTGTAAAAATATTTCTTTCGGCTGTTTGGGTAGATTGCTTGAACATTGATGAAAATATTTTTCATAAGAATGTTTTTCAGTATAGAATTGTTAAAGCAAAATTGATAAAATATAATAATGTATTACATATATACATATTCCTCGAACTAGATCGGGATACTACCATGAGTCAATCACCATTAAGTCAGTAGCTGGGCTATGAAACAAGCTGCCGTCTGCTATTCTTCTTCTTTACTATTGGCACACTGCCTTTCTCTCCTTCTTTCCCTTTCTCTCCAAATGTTAAACGAATCAAAGGTTGTCTGAAAGAGATCACTTTTAGCGATAAGACCACCGACGATATTGTTAACTTAATATTAATAATTATGGGTGAGCAATAAAGTTTCTATCAATATTATTACAAAAATATCATTTTTTACAGAAAATTACATAAAATATGTCAATTCGTTTTCATTTGTCAGTGTCAGAACAAAGCGAAACCGATTAATTCCATGCGAGTTTATTTTTGTATAGAACGAATATTCAATGTTACTTTTCTGTGACTGAATCGTATTGTTCACGTTTAAAATTTTCTCAGATATATTATTGAAAAGCAACAATGAAGATATAGATTTCTTTTTATCAGAGATACAAGATAAAAGAGAAATGTTTTGATACAAAACCCAAAATATTTTTTACATTCAATGTCCCAAATATTGCCAATTATATATAATAAATATATATATCAAATGTGTCAAGAAAATATAATAATAATGGAATATAAAAAGACATTTACAGCAACATTTATATGAAAAGTATTATGATATTTATTACACAAAAGAGCCTTTGTAAATATTTATTTGTGTTCGATCTATTCTTGATATGATTCTTCGCATTTGTATTTCAATGACATTACACATTAAAGACGTTGAATTCCCAATACATTAAACTTTGATCAAAATTTCAGATAAATATTGATTATTGGTTTTGATACCCAATGACACAATTCCATATTATAATACATCCACTAGATAAAGTACTATTTATTTAAATTCTATTTTTTTATATATGAATCGGGACAAACGCAAAAGATATGCAACCTAAAAACTGAATATGGCTTCTCTGCCGCCCTTACAAAATCCGCCTGCTAACGCACAAATTGCCATAAACATTTTACAAGCACACGAGCATGTGTATCCCTTTTTTTGCGTAATATTTATTTGCTGCTTGTTAACAAATGCATAATCGTCTAACTCTAATATTAATTATTTTTAATTACTACGTTTAAAATATTTTCTCTAATTACTAGTAATAAATGCGCTACACGCGTTTGTTATTTTTCTATTCCTATCAGTGTACCGATGGTACGACGTACTATTATTACAACTGTCTTTCAAAATTCTGTGCGACCCTATCCGGCATAC